TAGATTGTAAAAATTTTTGTTGTGATATTAATGATTTACTTATAAAAGTCCTTTTAATTCACCTATAGCTGGTTGGAGAATAGGTGGATTAATACCTTTCCCAAGAGTATTTGCACATAAGTATAACAAACCTGACTGGAATTGAAACACTGATTTTCAATTTCCAATTCTGAGCTATCATCCATTACACCGCCTGCACATCCAAGCTTATAGCACCTGGTATTTCCAAGCGGTCACCAATTTGGGTACTGATCAGGCTGTATGTTGCTTAACTTCAGTGATTTTTTTTTTTTAATCATAATCATTTCATCCTATGCAAGTTTATAATTCCACTAGGATATAAGTGGTTATTGTGTGTGAAAGTGAATGAGAAAACTTTATTAATGACAAAGGACAATGAAAGAGCAGAACAAGAAGTGAACGAAATGACTTTAATGAGAAGTATGAAGAGGACAAAAAAGGAACAGGGTTCAGGAAGACTGAAGATGGCGATTGGCATTGCATTTAAAATTTTGAAGATTGTGGGTGGCAGGGAAGCAAGAAATTGTAGGAGAAATGCAAGAAAAGGAACTGTTAAAATACAACATATGGTTACATATAACTAGTTCAACAGTAAAACCATGAGACCTCATTGCCAATCCAGTAGCATGCTTAAATTCATGCAGTTGAGGCACCACGGAGGAAATGTCATCAGAAGACTGTTTTTTCATTTCACCCCAAGCAAGGCAATAAAGCCACTAAGATGCAAGTGGTTACTGAGTGTTAGATAATATGAGAAAACAACACTATTAACGAGAGAGAATTAAGAAGACAATGGATAATGATTGACATTGCATTTAAATTCTTGAAAATCAAATTTGACTAGGAAGCAAGAAGCTGGGAGAGAAGTACTATAGAAAAAACTGTTAACGTAGAACTTATGGTTGCATCTAACCATTTTAACTGTAAAATGATGAATCCTTGCCATCAAACTAGTACTGTGATTAAATTCATAATCTAAGTACCACATCGGAAAGTTCATCAATTACCATGAAAGTATTTATAGAAAAGGTACAGGAAAGTTAGGTTATGATGGTGGGAAAGTGACTGAAGGTGAGATATTATTGTAGATTCTCCTTCAGATTTTAACAAGAATCTATAATAATATAGCAGGTCCACCAGACCAGATGTGTAGCAGTATTCAAAGCAAGGGCAAATGTTAGACTTATAAATATGTTACCATAAAAATATTTGTAGAAAAGCTGCAATTATAATCAGGAGTCAAAGAGATAGTATAAAAACAAAAATTACCAAGAGCTACAAAAGTCAGGAAGTTGGGAAGAACCATGTCCTTGAAGTACACAGCATATAGAAAAAAATGTATGATTTGAAGAGTAAGATATTTGGCATGCATACAGCCCTTATGCCATCTTTATTGTATCCATCTTTGCTCAATGATTCATTACATGCCAAATTTATTCATCAAAATAAATATTTGTGTCCACCTTCTCAAAATTATATATCTTTAACAGGCATGAGAGCAGTCTTCCAAGTCAGGGATTTAGAATTTGCATTTGTGGAATGGGGAGGCGGAATGCAGTGCAAAGCCATGTAGATTCATGTCTGGTTTACAAGCCTTTCCTGATTCTTGTTAATTTCCTCAAGATGTTCTTTAGATTGACATTATTTCCTCTGTCTCTAAATGAAAATGTTGAATTTGGCAAATACCAAAGATATTTGTGCTTGGAATTTACTTTGGCAATTCTCCAAGAGGAAATAAATTTTTTCTTTTTTTTTTTTTTTAATTTAAATTTTACATTTTTTTAAATTATGTTTTTTTCAATATTTTACTTCTTCCTGAAAGTCATGTATCTTTCCATAAACCCATTCACAGACACCCACAGATCATTTTCTACACTTTCTTATATATATATATATATATATATATATATATATATATATATATATATATATATAATAGGGTGGTTAATAAAATTTGTATAATAAAAAGTCAATAAAACTGATATTTATTATATATTAACCTTTTGACTTAACTGAAGCATGAAGAGATAGTTTTTAAAGTTGAAATTTTTAAACATGGCAGTGTTCTTTTTCAATGATGGAAGGAATAAACAAAGAAGTGGGACTTAATCTTCTGAGAAATGTTGCTGGTTGGAGGTTTCCTTATGAAAATTATACTTTCTGAGTAAACCCAAATCCCTGTTTTATACCTCAATATTTGAATTTATGTTGAAAATAAATTTCAACTCTGACCTGCGTCTTTCTCTTCAGCTGTTTAATAAAGATGCTACATGCAAACATCTGATGTCATCAGCACTATGAAATGACTGGTTGAAATGTGCAGCAACAGGAAAATTGTTCTTGTTGTCTCTAATGTTTTTTTTTATGTTTATTGAACTGAAGTCAGAATTCCATTCCCATTTCTTCAACATAATTCCTTTGTTTGCATTTGTATCAGAAAGGCAGATATATAAGATTTGAATTATCACAATTCAGAACCGGTGGTTTGAATACTATGTGAGTGCCAGGAGGTGTGAAACTGCTATCTGTGATGATATGTCTACAGACTTGGCATCATGGTTTATTGCAGATGACATTCCCTTGATGTGTGTGTGTGTGTGTGTGTATATATATATATATATATATATATATATATATATATATATATATATACACACACACACACACACACAAAAGTACAGGCCGAGTTGTTACATGACTTTCACGCTCTCATAGTCTTCAGATGACTAGAATGCAACTGAAAGCCAGAGGGTAGAGGGTGATGGTTCTGGCATTATATACCCATGACAGTCATAAGTATAAAATTAAAAATGTACGAAAATATGAAGTCTGTTTGGAAAACTGCCAATCATTTTGAATATCTCAAAAACTAATTGGAAATAGTTGATCTAACTTGGCAACCAATCAGAGAGAACATTTCTGCAATCACATGAACAGATGTTCTCACATATGGTTACTCACTCCACAGCTGAAAGCCATAGAATGAACTTGTGTACTGTGTAATTGTGACAAATCTGCCAACCCAGATTTAGCTTACTGTTACTTCAATCTTTCTTGAAGCCACCTAACCCCAGAGAAAAATTTACAAGACTTTGTAATTTTAGCAGTAATATCTATCCTCATAATTTTCATTTGCTACCACCTCCTGTCTCAGTCATATCGCACACTTCATTCATCATAATCATTTTAACAGTATCCTCTATGTTGTGTGGCTTTTGAGCCTTTTACAGGATATACTTTAGTATCTATGAAAACAACATACATATATGCACACACATACACATATATATAAGGAAGTGATTATAGTTGTTCCAATGAGAGAAATCTGTATATTTTAAAAAGAGAGAAATCGCAAAAGTTTTTAATAATAATGTGGATTTTTTAAAATATATATTATACTTTATTTTCCATATTTTTGCTACATGTGTTTCCAGTCTTGCAATCTTCATTAGGCAAAGATTGGATATTTACACATATTATTAAAAGGAATTAATTTTCCTTGTGTTTTTTTTTGTAGTAGTAACCCAAATCTTTTTCTTGTAATATATATATATATATATATATATATATATATATATATATATATATTCATAGATATTTCATTAAATAATATAAACAAGTGTTGTCTATTTATTTTATGTAAATTCTTTTCATAACGTCTGATAAGCTTAATAACATTATCATTAAACGAAGAAAGAAAATCATAATACTGATAAATATTTTTTAATCCAATCTAAGCTTTCAGCTTACATAAGCCATTATCAAAGATGACAATTACTGTACAATATATTAAGCAATGCACGGACAAGAATGTGATGATAGTCTGTTTCTGTTTACATGGATGATTTCCAAGCAACGATAAACACGTGCATATAAGATGCTGGAAGTGAAAATCCCACCGCAGCTCATGACGTCACACATGACCACGCGAGAGGGAATTCAAGAAGTATTTAATATGAGAAGCTGTTGGTATAAACCAATGGCTTCTGTTACCAATTATAGACACACACACACACACACATATATATATATATATATATATATGTAATTTTGAGGAAGGAATTTTTCATTTATTAATCTGACATATTTATTTCTTAAACATTATTTTTAGCAGATACCCATATTTGAGAAGATTTTCCATTTATTAAACTGTATATTTATTTAATTCCATCTACCAGACTGAATAGTCAAGAAATCTCATTAGAAAAATATGTGTGTTGTGTCAAGATTTCATCCTGCATTCCCCTAGAGGAAACCATCATTAGATCAGACATGCTTTAACCTTTCAGCTACAGAGAGCCTAATGGTCAAACAAAACCTGAAAAAATAACATTTAAGCAATTTATATAATATATAAATAAGGAATATGAATGACACTGAAGATCTAGAGTAAGTATGATGAATTTCCAGACTGTTTTGAAAATCAAAGCGACATTGGTATAAGTGTCTGAGGTCCCAAGAGGAGTATTTAGGAGAGAAGAAAGTTGCATTTTCCTTAGGTAATTAGAATTATTAATATTTAATGGTTGAACACTTTTCTACTTAACCACACAGAATTCCTTGATAAAATCAGTACCATATATATTTGTATATCATGTGACCTTTGAAGACCTAATTTTGAAGGTAATTTGACTACAGTAAATGGATATATAGTTTGATCAACAGCATAGCCAGGGCCAGCAGTACATATACTAAATTTATATGTAGTGTATGGTGTTACCCACTTAAAATTAGGTCTTCAAATGTCATGTGATATGCAAGTATATATGGTAATTAGTTCAGAAACTTGTAGATATTTCACAAATCATCTTTGTTTGACATACAGACACATTAATGGGGCACAGAATGAGAATAGATATTCACAATTATTGACAATCGTTTGAATTTCTCTATGGTATGCTTCAAACATAAATTCCTTTGTTTTTGTTGAAATATTAACTTACAATTATTCATTTCTTCATTTTTTTTTTTCATTTCAGAGAGAAGAAATTTTGCTAGCCAACAGTACATCATTAGATCGGTGCATCTGGCAAGGTAAAGAAAAGGTAAGAATATTTCAGTGCAACAATATGATTATAGTTGCTGATATCATAAATATATAACCTTGTAACCTTTTCTGGTTTAATACCTTGAATGAAAATATCCTTGCATTATGGAATAGCTTCAGTCCAGAAGTCAGAGTTTTAGAAAGGTTTTTTTTTTTTTATTTAAACTATTTACAATTGTCTTCGTCTTTTTTCAATCACCTAAAAAATGCTGGAGCTTAAAATGGCCGAAACATCATGAATATAGTAAAAAACATGAGGACAACAATCCGTACAATGTAAATAGTGTAAATAATTACAATACCTCATCTTAGAAATATAGACAAATATTGAGGGTGTTTTTTATTCATTAATTTAATAGATATTATTAGTCATAGAAGAAACTCAAGATGAGAAGACATTAAGATCAAATAGTATTGCTCTTTAAGAACCAAGAATGACAAAAATTTTAAAAAATTGTTAATTTTAGTTTCCTTTTTGATGCACTGGGATAGTTTTGTTCAACACCCCAAGTTGCATTATTTACATTATTCAGACTAATGTCCTCATCTTTGTCACCATATTTATTACAACGTTTCGGCCGTTGTACGATCCAGCCTTCTTCAGGTGGTTGGAATGTCGAACTGAATGGCACAGTGGATAAAGGCGTTGGTTAGATCCAGTGATAGGACCCAAAGCATGTGAGTTCAATACCCAATTAAGACAGTGGAGAACTTTCAGAGGGAAAATTAACAGGAGATAACTGATAACTGACATCCATTAAACATGGCACGTGGAACTAGAACAGTCTACCCCAGTGAGCGAAAGAAAGGGTTCAGTAAATAGTGTACATAATACCTCATCTCAGAAATATAGTCAGATACCCCAATTTGCTAAAGAACCAAAATATTAACCTAAGAACTCAAGTCATGTTCTGAAATAACCTCCTCGGATCTAGACTTCCATATGGATCTCATGTCTATGGCATCCAATTTGTTCAGAAATCTTTAAACTATCAACGAAATATAAACATTTTCTTAGATCAATGAATAAAAATGGCTTCAAGTGAATAAAGCTTGTAGGTCTTAAAGAAGACAATTCTTCATCAGATCTGATAAACTGGTGCTACAGAATCAGAAACAAAAGAATTTTACCAATTATCAAAGACCATATCATGTGAAGACTTCCAACAGCAGCAACAACTAAGATGGACCACTCATGTAACTGAAAGGTAAAATAATAAGATAATTAATCTACTGACTTTGACCTTAAACAAAAGTTTGGGAAAGAAACTTCTATCATTATACTATTTTAAGTAAAAAGATTTTATAAATTTTAGCTGATAGTAGCATTAATTTTTTGGTCAATGAATACCAAATGATTCCTGTATGGAAACAGTTAATTTCACTTTTATCATTATTATACATGTTTACTTGTTCCATCAAAAGTGATGGGCTTATGACTGCATTCTATTGAAACATTGATTCTTGTGCAATGACCAAAGTTAAGCAACATCAAGCTGGCCCCCAAAAATGTTTTTTGAGATAATACTGATTTAGTGATACATGTCTTCTTAATTATCCCAAAACCTGGAGAAGAAAAGGTGGCTTCATATTTTTCCCAAGGGTATTTATGCATATAATGAACTGACCTGCAATTGGAACTCGACTGTCTTAACAATTTTGAGCCATTATCTATTACACCACCTGCACATCCACTCTCACAGCACCTGACACTCCCAAACAGTCATCTATCTAGGGACTGACCTTGTTGCTTAATTTTGGTGATAGTATGAAAATCAATGTTTCAATGTGATATGGTCACCAGTCTTATTTGGTAAAGAAAAATTCACCAAAATTGTGATGTTTAGTAATAGTTAATAATCTTGAAAAAAAAACAAAAAAACTTGTGACATTTTTGTAAGTAGCAAAGAAAAATTTTTAAAATAGCTTTCAAAATCATGGTTTTTATCAAACAATGACCATTGCTTGAAACTATGCAACCATCTAAAACAAAAATTCTCAAACATTTTTATATTTACAAGAAACAGAAAAATTTCACTCAAACCAAAGAAAATAGTGCTGAATTGTTATACCATGTCAGTCCTCTAGTATGTCAGTCAATACTGTATAATTTGACAAATGAAAAAGAGACTTGAGGCAAAATGGAAATTGTTTGATAGAAGGATTCTGAGAATACCACGTTCAGAATGTTTGAGAAATAATGGCATATTAAAGAAACTGAGAAGAAAAAGATAATTTGTACTTAAAAAGACACAGTTGAAATTCCTGGGACCAATAATGAGTATCTTGGAGAATTTGATAAATAGTGTATAAATATAGAGCAGAAGGAAACATTGAGAAATCTACCTAATGAGCTAATGGTAGAACAAGGAGTGGGACAGGCATTCAGTTATAATTCACCATTATTTGCAGTGATGTGTGGCCACTTATCAGGTAACTCTTTGATGCCTTCTCAAGGAAGATTGTGATGCTAAAATGTTTTCTATGTATCTGGTTTTTATTATAGAATATTTTCAATATCAAATCATTTTGCTCTAATTGAAAGAGGGAATAATTGATTGCTGTAAAATTAGGTAGACCAACTAAATTCTAAAATATTTTCTGTGTTATTCCATTTTCATTTAGGAGTACATTTTTTCTTTAATTCACTGTATACACTGCCACATTCATACAAAGTCTAGGGGATGTTAGTGTATTCCAAATTTATACTTAACTAGTTAGGATGATACAGTTGGCCTTACAAAGCCATTAAGACACAAAGATTTACTGGGTAAGGAAGAATTAGAAGCAGAAAAAGAGTAATCATGAGGACAGTAGATAGTAATTGACATTGCATTTAAATTTAAATTTTTGAAGATTAAAGTTGACTGGACAGCATGGAGCTGGAGGAGTTCCACAAGTGAGAAGTGTGAGAAAAGAAACTGTTAGCATAGAATTTACAGTTACATCTAGCCAGCTCAACTGTAAATTGATAAGATTTCAATGCCAGTCTAGTATTGTGCTTAAATTAAAAAAATCTATGTACCATAGAGATGAGGTCATCTGGACAATTACCATGAAAATATCCATTGAAAAGGCACAAGATGGCATCCTTACATTGGTGGGGAAAGTGACTGAAGCCAAACTGTCAGATCAGTACTGATAATATTGCTGAATCTTTGGATTATTTCAAGGAGCTCAAGGTATATAGCAGGAGCACCAGAGTGTATGTGGCAGCAATATTCTAAACATGAATGAATGGGTTACTATATATATATATATATATATATATATATATATATATATATATATATATATATGACAGATTCTGGAGAGAAAAATTGTCCAAAATGGAAATTACTTATGATAAAGTCTAATAAATTTTCTGTGCAAGTTAAATATATTAAATTGAGTCATAAATAATTTTCACTTTAGTTTATCAACCTTATTCTTCAAAAAATAAAGAACAATTACATTTTATTCAATTATATGTTCACCATTATTTACAGTCACTTATCAGGCAGCACTTTGAGACATTTTTTTGCAAAATTAAGCACAATTTGATGTGAAAATGTTTTCAATGAACTCTTGAATCTGGTTTTCATTAAAGGCTTTTTCCACATCAAAACGTTTGGTGGCATTCGAAAAAGGTAATAATTAGTGTAAGGTCTGGTAAAATTTGGAGAGTTAGGTAGAACAGAGATTTAAAATTTTTTCATGTGTTATTTTTGCATTGTTATAGAGAACATTTCTCCTTTAATCCACTGTGTATGCTGCCACTGAAGTGCAAAGATATTATATTGTACTCCAAAGTTATTCTTAGGTACTATGTATGATGTAATATATTTGTTGTTACAACTGGTTCCCGAAAACAGAAATTAGTTGTTACTCAAACTTATATTTATATAAATGGTTCTTTCTGATAATTATGTGATTTTGCTTTAAATAATGTTTGTGTTCACCAAAAATTAGTTAACTTTAAGAGAGGGTTAATCCAATAATAAAAAAAAGTTGTCTTTATCAGGTTGAAAAGGACATATTAAAGGTTAAGGCTTTAAGCTTAAAAAGATGGCTGATGAAAGAACTGTCTTTGACTAGCTGCTAAGTTGTGCTTCTCCTTTGAAGGTTAATAACTACAGCTTAACCCAGGCTCAATGGATAAACAAAATTAGCACAGCACAAACAGTGAGGGTTGGAAAAACCTCCATGTTACTCTTATTTATTACTCCTATTTAGACTGGTACAATGTCACCAATAGACAGAAGTCTGGAAAAGTTTGAATTCATGTTCTGTTAATCTAGCTTGCTAGTCATTGCTCTCTGGTAAATACCTAAGTTTATATTTAAATTGATTGTGAGGTCTATGGGTGGGACTTCTTTTAGCATTTAATTCTCTCCCTCTTGGTAATAAGCTTAAACAAATCTTATTTTTCCATATATTGAGAGAATTTTTTATTTCAGATTAAAATTACAAAAATTTTCGACATACTTCAGTGAAATTTTCACTTTCTGAAATTATAGTTCAGATATATAGAAAAAAGATTTTCTTAGTACTCAATGACATAAGGGAGTTTTTATTATTGGTTGGGTACATTAGGTGTTCTTTATTATTGGTTAGCGGACTGAGATGTTATTTATTATTTGGTGACCTGAGAGTCTGTTTATTATTATTTGATGACCTGGGAGTCTCTTTTATTATTATTTGGTGACCTGGGAGTCTCTTTTATTATTATTTGGTGACCTGGGAGTCTCTTTTATTATTATTTGGTGACCTGGGAGTCTCTTTTATTATTATTTGGTGACCTGGGAGTTTCTTTATCTTTATTTGGTGACCTGGGAGTCTGTTTATTATATTTGATGACCTGGGAGTCTCTTTTATTATTATTTGGTGACCTGAGAGTCTCTTTATTATTATTTGGTGACCTGGGAGTCTGTTTATTATATTTGGTGACATGAGAGTCTCTTTTATTATTATTTGGTGACCTGAGAGTCTCTTTTATTATTATTTGGTGACCTGGGAGTCTCTTTTATTATTATTTAGTGACCTGAGAGTCTCTTTATTATATTTGATGACCTGAGAGTCTCTTTGATTATTATTTGGTGACCTGAGAGTCTCTTGTATTATTATTTTATTATTTGATGACTTGAGAGGTTCTTTATTATTGATTAGTGACAATATTATTTATAACTATTTATTACCCATGAAAGATTTTCCTTGGTATATTTTAATTCCTATAAGAGTTTTATTTTTTAGAAAAGAAACTAACATTTATTTGTTATGCACGACTTACACATTGTGTTTTCATGATGATTAAATTTTATAATTATATAAGAATAATATAATTATTATTATAATTGTTTATATTTATAATAAATATAATATAATTTAATATGTTCTATTTTTAAAATTTTTATCATATTATAAATTTAAAAGTTCAATCATCATCAAATGCCACTGATTATACCTTGTGCTACCATAACAATGGATTTTCTCATTAACCTATGTTCCTCTGATATCAGTTTAAACTGATATCTTCCTTTTTCCATATATTGTGACCATTTTGCTTAAAGTGCATATTTTACTGATTTCAAATGAAAACTTAACATTTTGCTTAAAGTTCAGATTTTCTTTATTTTAAATAAGAACTGAACATTTTCTGACATACTTCAGTGAATTTTTCCATTTTCTAAAATTATAGTTTATAACAATATTTTAGATATATGGGTGAAATGGAATATGTCTGTTTAAAATGATGCTATGTAGATATGGGTAAAAAATTATGAACAGATACAAATAAGAATTGAGCATAAAGGCTGCCGATGCCAAAATGCATATGTGCTTATCGTAGCCTCTCTTTACTCCGTTTATTTCTTTATGGCTGACAATCTATTTTTCATGACCTTGCCCTTTTGTCGTAGCATCCCACTACACTGTAAAACACTTTTTATGTGACCTTAAACAGTTATTTAAATTTAATAATTCACTATATTATTTGTTAAGATATTTGATTATGGTTACTATGCATATGTGTCATTAAATTATAGTTCAGTGAAAATGCAGATCCACAAACTTCCCAGAAGTATGATTTAGTGAGACATACATGTACGGACTCTGAAGAGAAACAATATTCTTGTAAAGTTTGTGGATCTACATTTTCACTGAACTATAATTTAGTGACACAAAATTGACATTTTACTTTAACAAAGATTCCTCTTTGCATTAATTTCAAGTCAAAGACTCCCAGAAAAAAATTATATTTACAATAGATAGATAAATAAACAAACATTTAGGATTTAGGAATGAAAATATGTTCTTGTAGGGATGCAAAGGGTGATTATCTCCCTTTGGTTAAGATAAAGTCACGAAGGTCACATGATGGCTGGTGTTGGAAAGCAGAACCTTCTTGCTCTGTGGAGGTTAATTCCTTCTCCATCTCGACAAACATAAATCTAAGAGTAAAAATGAAAGAGAAGAGTAGAGGTAAATAAATGTAAAATTTATTTACATATATACAAAGACTGGTAACTTATATTTATAAAATTAAAATGTAAAATTTATTTACATATATACAAAGACTGGTAACTTCTATATGTCACTAAGGCAACAGGGTGAGAGAGTGGTGAAATTAGAAGTAAAATGGATACTTTGTAGTGGCCATTGTTGGTGGTGTGCTGTCTCTCTCTCAGTGTATCAATGTTGACATCAAATGCTGGTTTGTTTGAATTAGGGCATATATATAGTTTTTAAGGAGACATGGTGGAATAATAGATAGTAGCTCGGATTGAGGAATCGGAGAGCCGAGTTTGAATTCCAGTTGAACCAGTTACATTCACTTATGTGCTAATATCCTTGGGAAAGGTATGAATCCTCTTCTTCTCCCCGCTAGATATGGTTAAATAGCAGGACAGACCAGGCTCAATAGCCTTGGATGGCAACTAGTCTACTGCAGAAAGAAATGGCAAATTACTGCAGGGAAAAATCTGCCTCATCAGTCATGTATTGAAAGATACATGATCACCTAAGCATATATCACACGTAACATGGTATATAACTGAGTTTTTAGTCATTTTGAAATCTTTTTTCTGGTTTTTGAGTGGAAGTGACTCTGATTGGTCCTAATATGTTATTAATATAGTTTGCATAGAAAATGTAAGAGGCATAATACTGATAAGTGATGTGAGTTTATTGTGTGACAAGACCTCAGTTGCTACTTAGCACGCCTAGAGGTAAGAATAGCTTGTTCTTGCAGTCAAGAATGAACAAAGTTATAAACAATATTCATGTCAGAAATATGAATATAATTTCACTTCAGCAAAAGAGAAAGTGAAAATACATGTTAAAAATATGTCCACTGAATAGGGTAATACATTACTGCCTTTCTCCTTTATACTTTTATAGTTACTTCTTTCTGTAGGTGCCCTCCATGACACATGCTTCGGTGATTACATCTCTTTTCAATTAATGATTGAAGAATTTCCACAGTAGGTTGCCATTACTTTCTGTGTACGTCTGGTTGCAAACCAATGCTATAGGATCAAGTCTGTTATGCTATTTTACCCATAGCTAGTGGGGGAGATATGGATTCATGCCTTTGTAAAAGATGTTTGCACAAATGGAATTTGAACTTGGCTCTCGGATTTTTTATTCCAAGCTGTTTTCTATTACACCACCTGCACATCCTAGCTTACAGCACCTGGTATTCCCAAGCAGTCACCCATGTAGCTACTGACCATGCTCGATGTTGCTTAACTTCAATGATCAGACAAGAACTGGTGTTTTAATGTAATATGGCTGTAAGCTATTTAGATGCCAGAAAAGGGTAATCATAACTATTTGTTGATTGGTTAGTTCAATTTTTTGATTTGAAAATATTAATAATAAAATTGAAAATTTCTTGTGATATGATCCATTTCTGACTCTAGTACAAATCATATAAAATTGTCCTCTCATATCTTGAAGATTATAAATTTTGAAATCACTGAGCTTAGGGCATCAGCAGGCCTTAATCCAGAGATTAATACTATAGAGATAAGCCACTTTATCATTATTTGTATTTAGATGACTACATCTTCACATGGAATAACACTGACCATTTAAAAAAAACAAACAAAAAAAAACTGCTTTTCTTTTCTTGCCATTATAAGAGTTCATACATTCGTGCAATTCTTCCAAAAATATTTCTGTCTGACTTCTTGAATTTGATGATGAGTTTGTAATTGTCTGTTTCTGGCTGGCTACATGGACTGCTTATGTTTTTTTTTTTTTTTGGCTTTTTTTGTTTTCGTTTGTCTTTTTGTTAAAAATTTGTTTTTGACTTTCTTTTTCTTCTTCTTTCTTTTACGTTGCTTCAGAACTACAAAATGAAAAACTTTTTGATACAGCAATCAGGCAATTAGCAGAGTAAACAGTAATTAAACTTGGAAGTATTCTTTCTTCATCTTTTTTTTTATTGCCATCACCAAAATAGAAACATTCAAGCATCAGTCGATTTTGTACATTCATTTGCTGCTGTCTGGAATGCGCTCTTGACTCTCACTCTCCTGCATGGTGAGCAAGTGAGGGTCAGGTAGGAGATGGAATAAAAAAAGTTCTTTCAAAAAGAGAGCTGCTGGTCTACAGAATAACTGGCGACAGGAAGCCTGTATATGCCAGAATACTTACCTAGACATTGGCCTGTGAATTCTGCTACAGAAACTGATATTTTACTTGGACAACATTAGATCATCATTGCATTAAATGTAAATAAAAGAGGTGCCCTAAAAATGATTCTTATGATAAAATAGGTAAACATTAGGATTTAGGATACCTTTCAATGTCATCAGTTGCAAAACTAGGTATTTATACTGATGATACAATTGTTTTCTTCTATCTTAGTAGCAAGTATGACAAGTCTAATATAACTGGCAGCTCCTCTAAAAAAGAACCACAAATCAGTGGTTAACTGGGGCAACAAATGGCTTGTAAATTTTAGCACCTCAAAAACTACTTTCATTTAATCACCAAAGAGAACCTCTTCTGCTTGCTATCATCATGGCTGTTGTTAACCTCCTGAAGGGCAACACATTGTGCTTTTTTGGTCTCACATTTTCCACTACCAAGAAGTGGAGTGATATACTGAATCACTTGATAAGTCTACTGCTAGGAAAGTTGGTTCACTGGGCCATGCTAGACAAATTTCTCATCAGAATCCATTTTTAAATCTACCATTTGTCTGTGCATTGAATATTACTGTCATATCTGGTCTGGTGGTCCTACTATAGATCTTGCGATTCTTGACAAAATTCAAAGACTGGTCTGTAATGTTACTGGCATTTTGATTTCAGCAGTAGCATGCAGAAAGGGGTGGGGACAGAAGGTTTGACAGCCTAGGACATCTATATTGGGAGGGCATCCACTCAAAAAGTGAAATAAAAAATGCAGAATTTATTTAAGAGTTTATTTCATGTTTCATCTGTTTTTACATATTTAAAATGTCTTCAGTATCTATATTTCTGAAATGAGGTATTATGTACACTATTTACATTATTTGGACAATTGTCCTCATCTTTGTCACCATATTTATTACAATGTTTCAGCCGTTGTACACTCTGGCCGTCTTCAGGTGGTTGGAATGTCAAACTGAACCCTTTATTTCGCTCACTGGGGTAGACTGTTCTAGTTCCACGTGCCATGTCTAATGGATGTCAGTTATCTCCTGTTAACTCCCCTCTCCAAGTTCTCCACCACCTTAACCAAGTATTGAACTCACACTCTTTGGGTCCTGTCACCAGATCTAACCAACACCTTTATCCACTGTGCCATGTGTTCTCAAGGATCCGGTGACAGGACCCAAAGAGTGTGAGTTCAATTTTATGATAGTACAAGAAAACACATTTACAATAAAGCAACCCCTATAATATAAAATGATGGTAAAATTTAGAAAAATAAAAAGGAAAAAGTGCAGAATTACTGTGTAATATCAATACTCTTATATGGCCGTAAATGGTGGACAATTTCCTCACAAATGAAGAGGAGACTTGAAGCAAGAGAAACATAGAAAAGAGTACTGAACTGCTATGTAATACCAATCCTTCTAGATGGCAGTAAATGCTGGACAATTTCATCATAGATGAAGTTTTTCAAATATTATTGCAGTTTTCTTTTTATTAGGAGTTGACATGTAAGCAACAAAATAGTTTGAAAAAAGCAAGAACAATACATGGAAATAAGAAAAAAGAGTTGAAATTCTGTATTTGAACAAATTATTCTTTCATTCTCTTTCTTTTCAGATGCCTGACTGCCAGAATCACATTCGTTTAATAGCCTTTAATGGGAGCAACCTGTTTGTATGTGGAACAGGAGCCTATAATCCAACAACATACCTACTAGATGTAAGTTTGTCATTTTTCCTTTTAATCAACATAATAGAATATTTATTTTGACAATACCCCTTTTCAGTTTCCTTTCTTTTATACATTACATTGTTTTTGTTGATATTGTTGTAGAATCAGGTTATTGAAAGCATTGTTCTTTTAAGTGTTTTTATATCTTAATACGAAGGAGGAGGGTAGAGGTGAACTTTCTGAAAGTCATTTGTTGTCCTTTAGTTTGCGATGATATCAGAAATCCATCACCCCCACCCCAACTATACATGCAGTCTACTGCTAACAGTCATTGGTACTCAACCTACCTGTCAATTAACTTCATGCTGTTGTAGTACATGATTCATACCAGGAAATACCTGTTGGTCTAAATGAAATTTAATATCAATAAAGAACCTTTCTTCTAAGAGAAGTTGATCTGTGGTGACATCAATATGTATTGGGCTCAAAATATTTCAAATAGAATTTGCACACAATATAGCATAAGAAATCCGGTGAAGATGTGCACTTCTTAGGATATCCATGGCTCTTCAAAGCTATGCTTAGGATGTTCACATATGATACAGCTGGATCACATATCCACGTTCAGGGAAAGCCCATAAAACCACACACTCTCATACATGTGTCATATTAACTGACATAAGAGTTCTCATGTTTCAAAACAAGAGCTGAAAACTTCAATATAATTATTAGAATTAAAGTGAATTAAAGTACTAAGCCCTGTTCCATCTCCAAGCGAATTTTTTTTTTAGAATAACTTATTTCTGAAAAATACTAAAGAACTTTGGATTATTTACCTAATGAGTTCTTTCCTATTTTCTATATATTTTTCACACATATATATATATATATATATATATATATATATATATATATATATATATATATATATATTAGAGGCATGGTGGAGTAGTGGATAGTGGCTTGGATTGAGGAATCAGAGAGCTGAGTTCAAATTCCAGTCAAATCAATTACATTCACTTACGTGCTTATACCCTGGGGAAAGATTTTCTCTTATTCTACCTCCAGATTGTGTTCTATAACCTTGGATGGCAACTGGTCTAGGTGAAGGTCAACTCTGAATTCAAAACCTACGGTGGGTTGTTTTGGAGACCTTGTGGTACATAGTGCACCCAGTCTTTGTATTCATCTCTTCTAAAAGTGTGGTGGATTCTGTACAAAGCCTTCACCACTATATTTAGTCGTCCCCCCACGAAGGCGTCATGTGACACAAGGCCTTTTTAACGTGGGCATTTCCGAGCCATTAGGCTCGGCCAAAAAATAGCCCATTTGAACCCGTATAAACGGGTTCAGGGCAAGCTTACCTCCCGAAGGAGGCTACGCTGAAGGGCGGAGTCTCCTTCGGGTTCCTCTCCATCCGTAGACAGAGAGTTGAACTGAACCGTCGCTCAGAAAGTGAACGTGATTATAGTGGTGAGCCTTCACCATTATAATCAAATCATATGTGCTGGTGTCTGGTTGTTGGTTCTTAGGAACTGAGCTGCTTGACCCTCATACATCAAATACAATAGGAGAATCCACACACACACACACACACACACACACACACACACACACACACACATATATATATATAAAGATATTTTTATGTTTATACATTCTTTTTTTTTAGATATATAAACATAAAAATGTCTTAAAATAATTGTCGGACTTTGTCAATTTCATTATATATATTATATATATATATATATATATATATATATATATATATATATATATATATATATATGGAAAAAAAAATCTTACATTTTGCCGATGCATTTCGTCTTCCGACTTTTTTGAAGGCAAAAAAATGAAATTGAAATGTTTTTGTTGTTATAGTTACATTAAGATTTTTTTTTCAATTGTCATTTGATACCAATCTGTCTTGTCCACAGAATTCATCTGGGAATTTAACTATTTATATATATATATATATATATATATATATATATATATATATATGTAGGAATTGATGGATAAATTGTTGACATATTGTATTTTAACTTTTCACATGGGCATTGTTTGTTTTTATCACCTGCATAGTATAGTAGGGTCAGTTGAACACAACGTGAGAGAAAAAGAGCAGCTTGACACAATTTAAAAAGAGCTGGATGAGTCTAATGGTGATTACAATGGTCGTTCTGATAAGAAAAGAACTCCTGAATTTGTTGGTGAGGGTCTCAGACTCAACATGCAGGCCTGCATGAAGTGTCTTGAGGAGGTAATGCTGCCCTGGCTTAAAAGAATGGCTGCTGGAAGACCCTATATCTGGCAACAGGACTCTGCACTATGCCACACAAGTAGGAGAACCCAGTCATGGCTATCAGACAAATTTCTGCAACCACATCACACATTACATTTGACCACCTAAATCCCCAGACTGCAATCCCCTTGATTATTATGTGTGGGTCACAGTTGAGCAAGAGACCAACAAAACACTTTGTAACACCAAAGATGAACTGTAGGCAAGGATTATCACAGCATTCACTAACTTCAGATAAGATGCAGGAGATTCCAAAGTTGTCTGCAGGGGGTGGCTGATGCCAATGACAATCTTATTAAATGAATTCACTCTTTAGTATTTCAAGATGTAATTTTGGTAAATATATCAGTTAAAATGAGTTGTCAGTCTTATTTTCATTTTTGAGTAATTTAGAAGACAATTTATCCATTGCAACCAATGTGTGTGTGCATATATATATATTGATGCTATGTTCACAAGCATATTTACAATTGTAATAATTCAACCAAACAGAATGTCTCTTACAACATAACATTTTTAAAATCAGCATTTGTGACTTTGTGTATGACCTGAATTTTTAATCTTTTAACCACATATGATGTCCATTTTCTTTTCCTTAGTCCAGAATTTAGGACAAGCGAATATAAACATTATTACAATGATTGCACTCAAATCATCCTTGTGCTGAGTTGAAACAACCAAAGAGAGAGCTTGACTTAATTCATAGGTGGAGGTTTTTCGAAGACACTTGTGTGTACCATGTGTTGGAAAGTAGAAAGAGAGAGTCAGTAGCCAGTGCAGATAAATATTCCTCAGTAGGAACGTAATTATTATGTTGTGTTACATCTTTGAGCAAGGGGGAGAAAGAGAATGAAGCAAGAAATGTTTATCTTTTTATAAACTACACCACCTAATGGCTTTTGGCAAAACCAGCTGGGGTGGGGTATATCATATGTTTGGTTTCTTTACTCAGATCATCATGGGAAAATGCATTTCTTTTTTTTTTATTTATTATCATTTTATTTATCGATTTTATTTCATCTTCCAACAATTATAGTTCAGAAATTAAATTCTGTTCTCTTGTAAAAAAAAATATTGTTACAGTTCTCACATCCTTTTTTCAAAATATTTTAAATAAACAATTGAATAAATAAGTAGTGTTTAACATTTATGTTCTGAGTTCTTGAGGAAAAACAGATAAATTCACTTTGATGTGTTACAGTTTTATTAAAACTCTAAAAATAGATTTTTAAAATAATAAAATTTGAAATGTGTGATAGCAGTGTCAAGAGAGAAATGTTCTTTTTGCACACCATTTTTATTTTATTTTCCCAGCTTTCTAAGTAAAATTCTGTTAAATTAGATTTGGTATGTTAATATGATTTTGTTTTAAAATACAAGTGCATTATTAAAAAAAAATAGGTTCAATTGGAACGTTTTTTGTTTTTTTTAAATTATTTGCTTTGTTGCAGATATAAACACTTCTGAGGAGATTTTATAACCTCTTGGTACATTTGACACACTAACAATTTTGGTTTGTCCAAAGGAAAAATCTCTATCTATAAAAGGCAGGATGTGTGTGTGTGTGTGTGTGTAACGAATGCATGGCCGCAATATTTGATGGATTTGCACCAAAATTTACATGCACATGCTCCAAGTTAGTGGGAAGGCCAAGACCGACGTTGCATTTCCCAACTCCCATCGATAGTGGAAATAATCAATTTTTCATGCTTCTATGGTAGTTTTCATGTAGTTTGCAGCCATTTTGTACTGGCCAGAGTGAGAGCCTATAGTTGGCTGCCACAAATGTTAACTAGCATGCAAAAAAAATCGATAGCTGCATTCATCACAAGTTGGAAAAATTTAAATCTGCATGGCACTTTACTCCACTTGGCTCATTCGCTTGCTTAAACTCAACGTTGATTCTGATTCCGCAGAACTGGGTTGGGTATGAAAAAGTATTTGTTGTTAACATTCTTTTTTCATTTGGTTTTTCCAGTTATGAGTCCTTTTTTAAAGCTGATCATTTTGTGTTCATTTTGTTTAGTTCTTTTTTTGTAACAAATTTAATGTTTAGTAAAGAGCTTAGAAAAAATTTGCAGTGTGAGATAGGCAAGAAGTAAGGCATGTAGCAACATCAGCACAGCAAAGGGCACTCCTTTAAAGGCAAGGAAGGGCAAAAATATTTCACGTCAAGTGATAGCGATTGCTGTATGAGTCGTACGATTTTTGAATCAAGCACGGGCAAAGCTGCTAGTAAGACATAAAATTTGAACAAAGAAATATTAACAAATATATTGACAGGACACTTTACAAAAGAAAAAGTGAGAAACGAAATATGAAAAGTTCAAAGCAACCTTAAGTGTCTCTAGTTGATTACTCACATTTTGCAGGCATGAAAAAAATGAGTCTTTTTGCTATGAAAAGTTCCTGAGAAAGACATTGCATCTTTCAAATCTTGTATCATCTGTAACTATCATCAGGGTGTGATAATTCCAAAACCTTGCTGCCTGTGATTATCATCCGGGAGTGGTAATCCAACAGCTTTTTTTGTGAATCATTTTTCACAAAACCAGATTTAATAAATACATGTTCATCGTAATAGTGTTTTTGATACAAAATATCAAAACACTTTCTTGCAGAAGAATTAACAGAATTTTGTTGTTTTTTTTTACATATTTTACACATTTGCATAAGGCTAAATTTTGTCTATGTTCTCACCTTACATCAGTTGAACAAAAGAGCCCTATACGTACTGCTAACT